ATTCGTGTACGTGTCCCGCTGATACGCAAGGTACTGTCCAGTTGTGGGCAACCAGTGGCTCTGAATGCACATGCCGAGGATCGAATCTGACTCAAAGCGCACGGGGTTGGTGCCGCCGACCGTCGGGAGGAAGCCGAGGAGTGCCAGGAGGATCCAGAGGGCGCCGACGGTGCCGATTCCGCCGCAGAGAGTGGCGGTCGAGGCCAGGCCGTGCGCGTGGGCCGGTCGGGCTCGGTCCCGCGGCGGGCGACCGGGCGCCGCACGGCTGGCCCCGTCGGCCGAACGGCGCCGCCGCCCAGAGGTCGGTCCTTCTCCTCCTTTTTCTGCTGCATCGGAGCCTTCTGCTCCGCGAGCTCGGACGCCGCGCGCTCCTTGCGCTGCAGCGCGAGCCGCTTGAACTCCTCCTGTGCACAGCTCGGGTGTGAAGAGACGCTGTAGGATAATCTCGGGTCATCTCGGGTCGTCTCTCTCGGGTACTCTACGCTCCTCGGTCATCTCCGCGAGGCGCGCGCGCAGATCGTCCGCCGGCTCGCCCTCGTCGCTGCCGCCGATGGCGTCGTCGTCGTCGTCGCCGCCGCCGCGCACCTTGTGCCGCCTCCGAATCCGCTCGTACTGCTCCTGCCGCGCCGCATGCTCCTTCGCGGCGTGCGCCGCCTCGAGGGCGTTTAGCGACTCCTTGATAAAGGCGTACTGCCTGGGCGCAGAGGTGTGCATCCCGGCAGCCCGCGCCGCCTAAGGTGGGGTAGGGCAAGGTAAAGTGAGGTGGCGGGGCAATGGCCAGGCAGATTTTCGCGACTCCACGTCCAGATGGACAGGAGCTCCAACGCATTCAACGTGCAAAGCCCGGTGCACGTGGTGGGCGGTGTGTGTGTGTGTGTGTGTGTGTCGCGTGCGTTTTCGCCTCCTCCTCGGCGCGCGTGGTGGCCAGCAAGCGCGGGACGGGCACCAGCGGGCCGCGTGAGCGCTGCCCGCGGTAGACCGAGTCGGACCCGAGCATCGCCGCCTTGCGGGGTCGCGGACAAGTCACAGAGACGTCGCGGGGGACATGTTGTCACAAACAGATGCTGCGTGGCTCCGACGGGTCATGCATTGCGGTGTGGCGGCGTGCAGAGACGGGGTGACCGGCCGCGCTGCAAGTCAGTGGGCCGCAGGGCAGAGACGCGGATCCACCGGCCCGCGCCACGAGGATGGGTGAAAGCGTCTCGAAAAATCCTGCTTACCTTGCGCGCCCTCTCGCGCTTCTCCACCTCCTTCGCCTCCGCGACGCGCGCGCTCACCACGGCGTGCTCCTGCTTGCGCAGCCACTGCGCCTCGTCGCCTTCCTGCCGCCGCTTCGCTTCCCGGCTGCTCGCGGCCTCGATCCCCTCCCTCGGCTCCCACTTGATGCCACCTTCGCGCTCGACGGCGACGAGGATGACGTCTCCCATCTCGTACACGTCGCCAGCCTTGGGCTTGGCGCCGCCCTTGCCGCCCTTGCCTCCAACGGGGGTGCAGCCTCCGCCGCCGCCGCCACGCCCTCCACCCTTGCCGCCGCTCCCGCTGTACGATCCGCCGCGGTCGTCGGCGCTTCGGGCGGTGTCGGCGCTGCCGCCGCCGCGGCCCTTGCCGCGGCCGCGACCCTTCCCGGCGCCCCTTCCCTTGCCGCCCCTTCCCTTGCCGCGCCCCTCGCCATGAAGAGCGGGCAAGACCTGAGCTTCATGCATGTTTTCCCAGACTTCGTTTTTTTATCCTCCGTTATGTTGGTCATCGCACTCATGCCCCTCCGTTGGGATTGCCATCAGTCAATGTAGTTTTTACTTCTGTCAAGGAACTCATGAGGCATTGCATCAACGTTTGGCACGCGGTCGATCCGGATCCATCCCCAGCGATCCCCCAGGTCCCCGTGAGTGAGTGAGTATTCTTGATACGAAACCACGACGACACACACCAGTCGACTCGCATCGGTTGCCTCCATGAACGGCGGAGCTATTCTCGCGCCCACACCACACCTGGCTCCAACGTGGACGCGCCCATAGCTGGGGACACTACTAGGTCACGCATGGCATCACAGAAGTTTTGTCTCTGGGCCCCGAAAGGCATCTCTAGCATCGTGTATCGCGCGCCTTGCGGGGGGGGCGCGGAAAAGAGGAACCTCTTAGCGCCATCGCCACGGTGCTGCATGCAGCGCCGGGCGACGACGGCTTACCGCCTCCCGGTCCCCCTCGGCACACCTCCGCTGCTCAATGTTTGACGGCTCGAACCCGTGAAGCTTCCCCGTGCGCGGGTTACCCCTGATTTGGGATAAATGATACTATACCAAGCTGAAGTACCGAATCCTGCGGCAGTGGCGGCGGCAGCGAAGGCACGAGGAGGTCTGGTGGACGCAGCCACGGTGTCGCCCCTCTAATCGCGGTCGCCTGGCTCGGTGTACGCCTGCGCGGCGCCGCAAAAGAGGAGAAGGAGCGCGCGAGGCACGGCAAATACGAGCGCCATGCCACTCGGCCGCCGCCCTCCGCTGTGTGGTGGCGATGATTTCGGCGAAACGGGGTGGCGAATGATCCGCAGTCGGTTGTGCGTAAAAACGATTGGATCGCGTGCCGCCGGCCGCCGACGTTGGGACGCCGGCCATTGAACGCTGGAGCTGTTCAATGGCCGCGAACGCTGTGCTCGGGACGACGAGTGCGAGAGAGACTGCGAGGAGGGCGCGGCGGTCGTCGCCTTCGCCTCCTCCGCCGCCGCCTTCGCCTCCTCCGCCGACGCCTTTAGGTTAGGTTAGGTAGAAAGGTGAAGAACAGTCAGGCTCGGACTGGACACCAGCGCGGTATGGCTGGACGCGGGACAGATGATGACGACACGCACGAGCGACACACAGACACAACAAGCTCACAACACACACGCCTTTGCCTGTGCTGCTTTTGCCGGCTTTCCTTTTTTTCGCCGCCTCCGCAACCGCTGCTTCTGCATCATCCGCCGCTGACCTCACGGCTGCCACGGGCACCCGTTCGTCGACAACCTCGTCGTCAGCCCACGAGACGCGCCGGGCGTGCTGTTTCGGCGAGATGGCACTGACAGCGTTCGCAGGCCCACCCTCTCCACCCGGCGCGTCAGCGGTCGTTGGGGTGATCATCCCCGATGCGCTGCTCGCTGCGCCGGGCGTCGAGGCAGCAGCAGCAAAAGCATTGTGGGCTGTGCCACGCGCAGCGCGGACCCGCCGCCGGTGCTCCTGGGCGTGCCAGCGCTACTCACGGATGCAGGCGACGCCAGGTCCGGGCTGCCAAAGGAGAAGCGCTGGTCGTTCTCCTGGTCGACGAAGCCTCCCAAGCGAAGTGCGCCCTCCGCGATGCCCTTACTGATGGCACGGTCGCACCCACGTGGCGCACTCGGCCCCGGACGCGGCGGCAAATGAGAAGTCGCCGGAACGCGCCTGCAGGTGAAATGTTTGCACGCGCGACGCGCCGTGCAGCCGCGCCTCCGCCTCTGGAATCCCGAGGCAGCTCGCGCCAACCAGCAGGATGCGCTCGGTTGCATCTGGCACGAAGAACGTGTCCCAATCGCAGCGCGCCTGCT